TGGTTCATATCTGCAGAGAGGCTTTCCAATGTCGATTCCTATTATGCACCTGGCATGTTCGCCATGCTTGGATGAGAAGTCTTTTAAAGAAATGCTGTAACATTGATGTCCAGCGGGAAATGTTTAAGCACTTGGGTTGGATTTTGTATTCTACAAGAAGTGGGCCAAATGCTGTTGATGCTGTTGAAGAGTTCATGCAAGTATATGTTGACCAATATATCTTTATGGATTATTTCAAGAGGAGATGGTTGCCATATATAGGTATATGTTTCTCTTATGCTTGATCCTACTTGTTTGAGAATACAAGTCTTCTCCTTGTTTGTTGGAGGAATCTTTATAATGTAAATTTTTTGCCAGTCTTCTTTATTATATATCAACCATCTAATTTCACATATAAACATACATTGTTGAAATAGGATATTATTTATTCCCAAGTTTGATTTTGTAATAATTTCTGTAATGAAATAGGGATTTTATTTTTTTATTCATCTCGTGCTAAAGAATAGGAAACAGCTACATATAGAAAAAGGGAATATTGGAAAGAAGGATGTTTAGCCATGTTTGAAATAACAGCTGCATTTTGAAGAACGACACAGAACATTGTTATTGGATAAGTCTTTCAAATGCAACACATTATTTATATGAAGTCTCCTTATATACTAGTTCTTAATAAATTCTAACCTAGTTCACAAATAAAATCTAGTTTGAATAGTTTATTCATAATTGCTAAATTTTACCTATGTAAAGTGGGAATATAATTATAGAAGAAAAAATTGAAAGATTTAAATGAAATAACATGTATAATATTATATTAGCAAACAGCTAGTAAATAATGACCTTGATGTGAAACATCGGCTATTAAAATATGCAAATAATGGAGAAGCGATAACTGCAGCACTGGTGTATTGTATGGCAGCATCATGTTTATTGTTATTCGGCTCCTCAATATAGCTACTGAAGATGAAATTATAAACCTATATTATTTCCTTCAAAACAATTTATAGCTGTAACTTGTAATATTAGACGTTTGTTTTAACCTACTTTCTTGTGTTGCAGAGTTGTGGATTAATAGCATGAGGTCTCTCCCAGTAGCCAGTACAGAGCCCCTGGCTGCAATTGAATCCTATCACTTAAGGTTGAAATCCAAGCTTTTCAATCAGCAACATGCTAATTCCTATAAAAGAATTGACTGGTTGATCCACACTTTGACAACTGAATTCCACTCCTTATGTTGGTTAGATCAGTACAGTGCAGAGACTGGGTATTTTACAAATGTAAGAGACGAGTCTTTCTTAACCAATGCTTGGTATCAGGCCTTGCACATATCTGATGTCGATGTGATATTGGATGAACAAAATCTACAGCTTGCAAAAGTCATCTCCCAAACCGACAGAAGTCTGGCATATACAATTTGGACCCCTGGTTCTGAATTCTCTCTCTGTGACTGTCCCTGGTCAAGGCAGGGAAACCTCTGTAAGCATGTCATCAAGGTGGCCATTTTATGTAAAAATCGACAGGTTGCAAGGCCATTATTGGCATCTCAAGTTTATCGGCAGGCCTTGCTTACCCTTCTGCAGAATCCCCCTGATGATCCTCTAGTTCTTGAGCATGCAATTTGGCGTGTTAGCCGCTTGCAACAGGATATCAAAGGCTTGGAAGACTTGTCTAATAATGGGCTACTCCTGGCTTCACCACCCGAAATGAACTCTCAAGTAGGAGATAGTCGTCTGCTTCTCCCACACCTTCATTGATTGAGCTACTAGAAAGGTGATAGAGATTCTTTGTTTCCCAGCTTGAAAGCTTTTCCATTTGGGCTGAAGGAGACCATGAAGCTATGTCCTTTAATCTGCTGGCAAGCTAACTTCAGAACAAGTCAGAACTTGCACCAGCTTGTTTTGACAAGTTCAAAACTTGCATTCATGAAACTCAGGGTTTTTGCCTGTGAAGGTACATTTTATTGCCTTCAGTATTAATCACAGAACATTCGTAGTTTATTAATTTGATATCTGGGGAAGAAAAAAAGAAACCAGTAACAATAGGAAAAGAGAAACAGGTATGCTGCTTCAGATTTTGTTAAGTTCAGCTGTTGAACCTGTTCAGTGTTCTGTCTTGATGAGTTTGGCTCCTGAATACTTCTTTGATTATGAATTTGTTTGTTTTTTCCATCAAGCTAGCGTTTTTTGTCTCTCTGATTTAGGGAGTGTGTCATGGAGACCCTTGGTTTCTTGTTTTTAGTGGTGGATATTTACCTATGACTTGGCAGAAGGTAATAGCTCTACAGGCTCATTCATATTATGAATTACATCTTAGTTTTTTGTCTTGATAACATTTTCTTGTCTCGTCATTTCTAACTGCATTTGTCTTGTTGACTGTATCCCAGATGGCCTGTGTTGATGCCCTGTTTCATCATTTGATATAAGCAAATCTTGCCAGAAAATGCCAGTCTTTGTTCATATCTAGTGAAGTGGCCAAGCACAATAAAGTGGAGTCATCTTTAGGTAGTATGTTATACATATGCGGTTGTAGAGTAATTTTCCTTTTTCAGTCTGCATAATCGATAGGTAATAGAAGAAGAAACAAGGGAGATTCAAATTCTTTATCATTGATAAAATGGGTGTTTCTCCCATTTTTCCATTTTCTTATTCAGTTGACCTGACATAAAAAATGGGCTGGAAAAGCTGAACCTTAAGAGACAAATATTGAGACTTTTTAATGTGGACGCCATTACCAAAAATGTTTCAAAAAAACTTATGACTCCTGTATATTAATCTCCAAAATAAATTAAAGGGCTTTTTTAAAAGGGGAAAGAGGGTACAGGACTTTTTGTTGGTATGGGATTAATTTTGAGAGAAAGCACGTTCTACTTGCTTAAGAAAGGGGGTAAGAGTCCAGGTTTTTTTTTCTTTTTGACTGGGCAGCGAGGGAACAAGATTTTCCATTGGTCTAATGCATTAATCTTGAATGATTCTTCAATTGCAAATAGATGGTCTTAGATGAAGTTGCCACCCATAAAGATCTTAATTAAATATTTCTTTGTATAGATCATTTATTAATTCTTTCAGCCCTTCCTGCTTCAGATTCAGACCCAAATGTAAAAAGAATTTATTTTGTTTCTCCTATTTCATGTTTCTCCAGGAGGTATTTCCCCAGGATCGTGTGCTGATGTGGATAAGAAGTCTAATCTTAGGTGATATCTATAATTTACTCATAGTTCAACTGTATATTTTCTTGCGACATATTGCTTTCTTGGAATGCCACATGGACTACAAACCTAGCATACGCTTTATTCTCTCTTCAAATTGATCCTTGTAATTTCCAGATTCCTTGAAACAATAAGTTACTTGCAAAAAAATAATGCAGAGCAAGGACTTCCTTTTCGGTTGCTCTATTTCACTGCTCAAACTATTATTGGAGCAGAAAGTTACCTCATCGGACAACCCTATCATTATTTGAAAAAACTGCATCATGTTGATGTCATGGAAATTTAAAGCTGGTCTAAAATGTTATAGCTAAAGCTTACTCAACATTCAAGGACCCCACTTCAGATCATGAGTTACAAATGTGAACAGTGACAACACGGGACACATTTATTAGATTAGGACCATTGCTTCTTGTTGTAGATTACCTTGGTAGGTGTTTTATTGATTGTCTTGCTATCACATAGTAAGCATGGCAGACCAGTAGGCAGATTAGAGGATTAGTTTTTAAAGTCCCCGTGATGAATTTGTGCTGGGACGACTCAGCCACAGACGATAGAGACCTTTCTCATCTTTCAAAATTTTCATATGAAGGGTTCCACATGCATATCTTGTGATAATTCGATGAAAAGATCTTATTCTGGGTAGCTCGATGAGTTAATCGGTATGATGTCCGCATATTTAAGCGTTTTAAGCTTCGAACCACAAAAACCAAAAGCATTTGTAGCTTTTTGGCCGATGGCACAGAAGATACAATTGTAAAACAGTGAAATCTTATATGCATCATAGAAGGGGACATCTTCTTTGATGAAAAAGATATGGCTAGAGCTATATAGAAATTGATATAAATTAGGACCAAATCTGAGAAGATTCTTGTGCACCAACCAAAATTTTCCTTTGTATTATTCTTATCGTGTTATGGTGTCTTTTCATGGTTATGCTTTCATCTTAGCTAATACAACTCTTATAGTATATCTAAATTTTAAGTGAAATGTGCTACTGTAGCAAAAGGAGTGGTTTCGATTTGAAGTACTCTTGGTGTTAAAAACCCAAACTGCATCTTGCAAGTGATATAGCAGCGAAAATCGAAGACTCTGATTATCATTGGATTAGTTTTTACGTTTCAAAGAATGAACCTGAAATCTGTTTCGCTTATTTGATTAGGCAAATTAGCATCTTTACCTGAAATATGTTGCACTTATATGATTAGGAAAATTAGCATCAAAAGATATTGATATCTGTGAGATGAATTGAACCTGAAACTATAAGGTAGCAACTGGCAAGGTTTTTCTTGCTTCCTTCACCATATGGTGAATGAGTGCAGTAGTAGCGAGAAGCAAAAAACCCAGGGAGACGAGGCTGCTGTACACTGAAAAGGTAGGCGACTGGGAGCTAGAAATATAAGAACAGAATAAACAATGACATTGAAGACATTAGATCTTTCCATTGAAAAATACATATAGATAGCTAATATGAAGCTCTTATCCATACTTACAATCCGTGCAACCCTACTGTTTCTCTCTACATCTTTCATCTTATTAACTACTCAAAAACAAGCATGACAATCCAATTATAAAAATATGAGATAACTTAACCTTCTTGCACACTTCTTTTCCTTCTGTTCTTTTCTATCCCCAAATGTCTTTTCAACTTGAATCTGCTGCATGCAATGATGTAAAACAATTCTTGGATGATTACTATAAAATGTGAACTGTCTTTGCCCTTGTTATCAAGAATACATGGCTAGTAACTAGTATATTTAGGGCTGGGGAAAGGAGAAATCTCTCAAAAGAATCATCAAATTTAGTAGATTGGTGGAGGTGGCGGAGATGCATAAGGTATGCCAGTAATCGGTGGCAGTGGACCGTTATACACTGGAGCTGGTGGAGGTGGTGAATGATAAACTGGAGGAGGTGGAGGTGGTGAATGATAAACTGGAGGAGGTGGAGGTGGCAAGTATTGGACTGGAGATGGTGATGGAGGTGGTTGCTCCTGGCATGGCGGAGGTGATGGAGGTGGAGGAGGTTCTGCACATGAGGGAGGTGGTGGTGGCGATGAATTTGGAGGGGGTGGTGAGTGATAAATAGGAGGTGGTGGAGGTGAATTTGGTGGGGGTGGGGGAGCTGAGTAGAAGGGAGGAGGTGGTGGAGGTGAGTTTGGTGGCGGTGGTGGAGGTGAGTTTGATGGGGGTGGTGGCGGTGAGTAGTTGGGAGGAGGTGGTGGAGAATTTGGTGGTGCCAGAGGCGGAGATGGAACACAATGTACTGGGGGTGGTGGCGACATTGATGATGGAGGAGGTGGTGAGGGTAGTGCTGATGGAGGAGCTGGTGAAGGTGGCAGCGGTGGTGGTGATGGTGGTGGGGGAGGTGGCAATTGTGATGGTGGAGAAGGATCAACCTTGCGACATTTAAAAGCCTCACAATTAACTGGCCTGGACAAGAACACTTTGCATTGCAATGTTGATCTCTGTTTGGGCCTAACCCTTAAACAATTCCTACTATCGTCAAAATCTACCAAATCCAAACAGGCTGGTGGCTCACCAGTGATAAAGTTATAAGCATAACTAAAGTTCTTAAGATGAGGAAGCAAACACACACTATCAGGGATACTTCCTGACAGCATATTATGCGCCACATTCAGCAATTCTAGACTCGCCATTTCTCCGATTGCATCAGGCAAGGGACCAACAAGTTTGTTATTACTCACGTCAAAAACTGTCACTTTCTTAAGCAATCCTATCTCCCTAGGTAGACATGATCGCAAGCCATTGTTCATGAGAATCACTTCATTTAGGGTCTTAGACATGTTAGCCAAACTCGTTGGAAAACATCCGTGGAATCTATTATTGGCAAGAACAATGACAGAAACCGGTGAGTTACCAAAATTATCAGGTAATTCAAAAGCAAACCTGTTGTGGTTTATGAATATTGCGTCGAGATCCTTATCAAACAACTCTTTCGGCAAATCGCCTTCGAACTCATTAAATCGAAGGTCAAGATACTTGAGCGTCGGAAGATCAAGAACAACGTAAGGAAACCTCCCCGCAAAACGATTGTTGCTTAGATCCAGCTCGAACAGTAGTTTTAGTTTCTTGAAAGTTTTTGGCACTCTCCCACAGAATCTGTTGGAGTTAATGTGAAACAATGCAATGTCAGTCAGGAGTCCGAGCTCTTCGACCAGGTGGCCTGCCATGTCGCCGTGATTTAGATCAATCCCAGCAACAGTTTGAATCGACGAATTGTCGAGAGCTGTGGCACAGAAGACACCAGTGTAGTTGCAAACGTCGGATCCCACCCAGTTGGATGTGAGGTTCAAGGGATCCGAGATGATGGCTCGTTTCCATGCTTGGAGGGCAATGTAGGCACTTCTGAGTCTTGGGTTGTCAAATTTGAGGCAAGGTGGTAACATCAGATACTCATCTTCTATATCAATTTCCTCTCTGTAATATAAAAGCTGTCTTTGGTTATGTTTACTATGTGTTGTTTGTAAGTCTTTAGGGCCAGCATTGCTAGAAAGAGATTGGTGTTGGGCAGTGGTGAGGCAAATGAGAGTGAGAGTGGTAAAGAATGGAAGAAGGTGACTGTTTTCCTTCATCAGACACCAGTGAACACGTAAGGATCTTTGTTCTATACTATAAAATGGGATCCTCTCTCTATCCCTTATGGTTTTTTATTTGTTTGTTTAAGATTTAGAGAGAGAGAGGGCAAGAGAGGTGGTGATAATGGAGGAGATTCTGAAGGTGGGAATTTTGCATAGATTTGAGAGTATTTTTTAAGGTAACGAGAAGAATAAATAATACTAGCTAGTCACAGCAGAAAAGCCAATGTGAGGTATAAATGAACATGTTTCTTTGCCACCTTTAATAACAAACTTTTTGGTGTTTCTTTCTCATAATAACTCGGCTTTTTTTCTGTCCATGACTAAATACCGCACAAAAACTAACAGCCTAACAACTTGGAGCTCTTACAACTACAAGTGATGACTATGAGGATGTTATTTCCTTGATATTAGCGAAGTATGATAATTTGTTGTTGTCGGTCGTAAAATATAAGGATTCTTCGGCTTCAGAAAATCACATTTGTCATCCACAGTTTCAAGTTTCAAGTTTTCACATTTGTCGGTCTTGAGTTGTATCGTTTCAAGTGGGACCAAATGCAGGAGCGGAGTTGTAGGTCTACGCTACTTTGGTTCTTGAATTGGATTAAAGGAGTGGTGGGTATGATGTAATAGAAGCGAAGTAAATCATATTGTCTTTGTAAGGCTACGATTTCTCAGTCAAACGAGTCAGTCAGTACAGCAGCATTTGCCGGACAGCTTCTTTTATGGGCAGTTGACGCTTCTTACTCTCCTTATCTACCAGACTCAACAACCTCTTCTTTAACTCTCTGTTTCTCTATTAACATGTTCATTAAATATAGGATAGTCATGTCATGCACCACCAATGAATAACTCAATGATTGTCATAAACTATAGCTAAGAATTTCTGTCGGATTATAATTTTGTTTAGCCACGAAACCAATCGCTCATATTACAATTTTTAAAGGGCAAAACATTGCTCATTGATATCAAATTATCAGTATTATTACAATAATACAATGGATCTTAAACGTAATTACGAATTGGAAGCTCATCAAATTCCTATGAGAAATGACAATTCGCCTCGTCAGTTCTATACCACCTCCCAGTTAACGTGGAGATTTCTCAAATTAACTGAGGAACAAGAGGGGGCTCATCCCATATTAATTTTGAATGGAGACGAAACAAGGATGGCATTTGCTCATCTCATCACATTTGCCCCGCTCCATTCCTCAAAGTATTATTATATTCTATATCAAATCTATGATTATTAATTTTTTAATTCTATATTTTATATAAATTATTAGTTTTTTATAATTTAGAATTTAATGATAGAATAAAACGAAATGAGGTAAAAATAAAAATTTGAATGAGACACGGATGTTCTACGGGGATCTTCATCCCTGTTTAGAACGGAAATGATATGAAAAATATTGCTTCAGGGTACGGACAGAAATGAGGCAAAATTTGCAGGGATCCCCGCCCCGTCCCGCCTTCGTTGCCATTTCTAGTTCCTGTAAAATGTGAGAGAAACTGGCTAACTTGCAGGGCTGAGTCATGTCCCACTTAAGAAATGTCAGTGACATAACATTTGAAGGGATAGCAGTACCAGTGGTGGGTCCAAGAAAATGACAAAATATGATAAAGGCATGGACATGTGAAGCGTGGACCCAAAAGCTTTAACGTCTCTCATGGTTGAACCGTCGGCGCCTTTCCTCTCCTTCTATGCTTACGAAGAGCGGAGCGGGGGTCGGGGCAGATCCTCTTCTGCGGCTTCACCGCGTCACTCGTGACGATGCCATCAACTTTCTTACTCTTGGGTTGAGCCACTGAATCATTTAGAGTTTTGGGCTTTGGGATATCAAGTATCTGCGTGAGTGAGTCTGTGAGATTAGCAAATTGTGTATCTGGCCCAATATGTTGCCATAATATGTCGTTGACCTCGGCCTGTCTTCTAAGGTCTCCATAATTTGAGCTGAGCCTAGATGATAATAACTATGAGATGAGGAAACCATTTTCTGCTTCGTTAGATTGTGATTAAGGCAAGTAATCTAATCATAATTCTTATAAAACTAAAAGAAGCGAACATTTCACTATTTACTTACTGTAGCATCAGACTCAGTTACACTGCAAACGGTATTTTCGTGATTTTTTGGATTTTAGTAGATGAAAGTTATGCAATTTTTTATACTTTGATCCCTAATATTTTTAAAAGAATATTTCGATCCACATCTTTATTTGTTCATCCATTTTGGCCCCTAGGTAGAGAGAGAAGAGTGGGAGGAAGAGAGACACAGGAGGAGAGAAAAATTACCGATCAAGTTTATTTATGTCACTTCGACCGACGAAAATTCATTAGATTTTTTTTATTTTTGAGAGATGAATTTGTACATTGTGGTTTCAAGCCATTAAACAATCAGATGAGGTAGATCGGAGTAAAAAAAAAAATCGATTTGATTGTGTATTTTTCTTTGTTTTAGTGTATATTAAAATGATTTTTAAGGTTTTAAATGTGTTTATTATTTTTATTGTGGTCATTTAGAGGTGTTTATGAAAAAAAAACGATATGAGAATTCAATTTCTAAAGATGTAAAACTTTAATCTCGATTTTTGGATGAGGCTTCCGGCGACCTTGAGTTCGCCGGAAGTTACAAGTTTTTTTTAATTTTTTCGGGTTAAGAGCTGGCCACGCCTGGCGCGAGGGCCTGGCTCACAGGCCAACCAGGCGTGGCATTTTTCCTTTTTTTTTTTTTTTGTTTCTTTCTATATATATATATATATATATATATATATATATATATATATATATGTATGTATGTATATACATGCGAGCTGCCTTGTCCTGGCAGGCGTGAGCTGGCTTTTTCCTTCTTTTTTTTTTAAAAAAAAAAAACATTTAGACGTATACATACACACATTCTTACCGTTGCTTTCCTTTTTTGCCTTCCATTTTTTTGTAACTCCTCCTTACTTGGACAGAGCAATTAATGCTCAATCATAATGCTTCTACTGCACCTTTTTTTTCTTCTTTGGAATATATATTGTGAGTTCAGTTAGTTTCATCTTTTTTGTTTTGGTCCTTGCATTATAAATATGTTTTTATTTGGTTTTTTAAATTTCAAAATATTTAAAATGATCCTAAGCTATATATGATTAAGTTGAAATATATTTGACAAAAATTAAATATTTTTGATAGAGAGTGAATATTACAATAGTTAACATGATTTGAAATTGTGTTAGTTAATGAGATAACTTTATATGATTACCCAAAATAGAATCTAAATTTTTTCATTAATTCAAAATATTTAAAATGACCTTAAACTATATATGATTAATTTGAAATATACTTAACAAAAAATAAATATTTTTAATAGAGGTTAGATATTGCAATAGTTAACATGATTTAAAGTTTTATTAATTAATGAGATAACTTTATATGGTTATCCAAAATAGAATCTAGGGGTATTCATTATTGTATTATAAGAATTTAGTTTAAAATATTTATCTTTCATGTTTTATATTTTTGAATTTGTGTATTATAAGAAGAACCAACCAATTATTCAAATATAGTTTTTTTTTCTAACATTATTGATTATATATATATCATGGAATTAAGTGTGAAAAGTTTTAAAAATATATTGTTATTTTTTTAGTTTTGCATACAATTTGAAGATAATAGAGTATATATATCTTATTGTATTACTTTTATTGTTTAATTTTTTTTTCAATTATTTGTTTCTTATTAAAATTCACATCAAATTAATTTTATGATATAATGTTATTTATTAATAAATTTATTTTTTTAATATATGAATTTTGGAATGAAATTTTAAAATGTCAATGTTTTATATTATTATAATTTATACAATAAATTAATTTTTTTGCTTTTAAAATGATTTTTTATTATAATTTATAAATTCTAATTATATATATATATATATAAAGAGAGAGAGGGAGAGAGAGAAATAAAAATATGTTTTACATAGTTTGACTCTTTTTAAAAAAAATAATAATAATCAATTAATGGAATTCACAAGTTTTATTTGTTTTTCATATATATATTTATTCATAATTTATCGAAATCAATTTTATTATGGTTTTTATTTTAATCGTTGACTTTAATATATTTCATACAATTTTGATGTTTTTTTGGTATATTTTATTTATTTCGAATCGTTAAGTATGATATATATATATATATATATATATATATATATATATATCATTGATTTGTTAGAAATTAACTATATATATGCACACATAATATCAATTATTTGTTATTTATTTTCTTATATTTTTATATTTATTTTTAAAATAAAATAAGTTAGATAATATTTCAAAAGAACCTCTCAATTATTTAAATACAAATTTTTATGCTAATATTATTAAATATTTTGTTAATAAATATATATAAATCAAACGATTTCGCTCAATATATAGATTCGATTTACATTAATCATCGAAATAAAACTTACTCACACTACATCATACGAATCGTTAATTTTACGTATGCAATAGTTGTTTTATCGTAACATAGCGCGGATATCGAACTAGTAAATACTAATGTATAGGACTCGTCAACCGATTCGATTCGAATTGGATTCAAATTTGATTTGTTTAGTAAAATAAACCGATTTAATCTTATGAATTCAAATCTGGTTTTGAAAATGTGAAATTGAATTTAAATCTAACGAACTCGAATCGAATTCGGCACTTGGTTTTTTGTAAAAAATTTATCCTTACTATATTTCATATATTTCTCAAATATAAAATATATTTCAACTACTACATGCATAATAAAATATATTAAGATGATATTTTATTCATAAATTTTGTAAAAAATTCAAAATACCGCACAATTTAAAAATAGAAAATCAAATAATCTTAATAAAAATTTATTTTGAACCAAGTAGAAAATATGATAAAATTAAAAAAATAAATAATATATAATTTTCATTTCTTGTCCACAAAAAATATAATAATGCTTACTACATTTCATATATTTCTCAAATATCAAA